GTGTGTGTGTTTCAGTGCAACTAATCTCACAGAACACTCAGATTTATATTTAAAATAGTATAAATTGGATTCATCACAAAGTTTTGACACACATTATGGGAAATATGTGATACAGGAATGCTCAAACTCATTGTGCAAAATACATGTACTAGATTTTTAGGTTGTATTTTTTAACCAAGCATAAATGACAATAGTGTAGCCTGCAATAAATAAAACTATGAGATAATGTTCTAACAAGAGTCCTGCCAGCTTGTCTAGCCAGAGTAAGAGTAGAGTCTGGCAGCAACATTGTGTACTAACTCATTCCTTGGATCAGGCTGTTCCTTTGACAGCCTTTATACTCATAGCAATAGCTCTGCCAGCAGCCAAACCTGCTCCTGAGCACAGCTTAAGGCAATCCTACCAGGATTGAGACTCTCCAGCAGTCTCAGGTTATACCTATTCCAAGGGCAGCAGTTCCTTGTCATTTGTTGCTTAAAATAATGCCTATTAAATTTAGAAAACCATGGAATAGTTTTAAATGAGGAATATCTATTACCGTTTAGCAAAAAGTAAACAACAATAGTAACATACTATTTTTGCTTACATTTGTTACATTAATTATAAAACTGGGATGTATTAAGTTTGCATATTATGGCATATTTCATCAGTGTTAGTGTAACAGCTTATTTTTATTTGCTCTTTTTATGAGAAATAGGGTTATACAATGTTTTAGATCCAGTCTCTCTCACTTGGAAATACTGAAATATTTTCATTAACTTAAAACATGATTTCTGTAATTCAATGATAATGCCTTTATAAAAATGCCTTACCAAGGCATTATAAAGTGGTATTAACACTTCATGTGAACTTGATTCTACTCCTCTGTTTATGCACCTAGAACTGTGTTGGCTTTTTTGGCAGCTGCTGCACACTGCTGGTTCATATTTAAAGGATTGTCCACTAGGACTGTGAGATCCCTCTCACAGTTACTACTATTGAGCAAGGTACCACCTATACTGTACCTGTGCATTTGATTTTTCTTGCCTAAATGTAGAACCTTATTTTTTTCACCATTGAATTTCATTTTGTTAGATAGCGCCTAATGTTCAAATATGTCAAGATCCTTCTTTATCGTAAGCCTATCTTCTGGAGTGTTGGCTATTCCTGCCAGCTTGGTGTCATCTGCAAATTTGATAAGTTCCCTATCTATCCCCTTTGTCCAAGTCATTGATGAAGATGTTGAAGAGTACTGGGCCTAAAACAGAGCCTTGGGGTACTCCGCTGCAAACTTCCCTTCATGTAGATGCAGTTCCATTGAGGACTACAAGTTGAGTGCGGTTGGTCAGCCAGTTACGAATCCATCTGGTGGTGATGCTGTCTAACCCACATTTTTCTACTTTATCTAGTAGTAGATTATGGTCTACTTTATCAAATGCCTTACTGAGTCCAAGTAAATTATATCGATAGCATTCCTCTGGTCAACTAATTTTGTCACTTTGTCAAAGAATGCAATAAGATTAGTCTGGCATGATCTATTTTTAACAAACTCATGTTGGCGTTTGGTTATTTTGTTTGCTTCTAGGTGTTCACTGATTTGTTGCTTGATTATCTTTTCCAGAATCTTTCCTGGTATTGAGGTCAGGCTGATAGATCTGTAGTTTCCTGGATCTATTTTTTTCTCTTTTTGAAGATGGGAGCTACATCAGCTCTTTTCCAATCCTCTGGCAGTTCCCCAGTGTTCCAGGATCTTTGAAAGATATAGTTCAGCCCTGACCTCATGGTATGAGATGTGTATTCATAAACGTTCATGAGTTTAAAAATGAGAGAAGTGGGTATCTTTGCAAATGGAAAGACAAAACCTGTGTCTGTTAGTCAACTCAAGTGAAAGCTTAAGCAAAATTAACCAGCCTGGTTCTTCAGTAGCTCTTAATCTAGTGCTGCAGTGGTTAAAATGTAATATTGCAGGCAAACTCTTCCCACAGCCTGGAGTTCAATTCTGATAAAGGTGGTGATATTTGACTCAGCCTTCCATCTTTTCAAGATTGTTAAAATGAGGATCCAGACTGTTTTGGGCAATATGCTGACTTTGTAAACTGCCCAGAGTACTATAAAGCACTATGGGACAGTCTTAAGTGCTATTGCTAAGTGCTAGTGCTATCAATTTAACTAGAAAAGGATGTAAAAGTCATTGTCAGTATACTAGTTAACAGGAATCCAAATGAAGATAATTATAATAAATGCTGTAGTAATAATTTGTTTCTGGAATTCTGCACTTTGATATGACCAAGGGCTAATCAATAAATAAAAAAGTCTGACTATAATAAATGCACTATTCCAAAAGTACCTCTTTTGGGGTTCAACATGTTGCATGAAACAGCCACTGTCATTCCCAGTAGCAATATATGGCTGTGAAAGTTGGACCATAAAGAAGGCTGGACCACAAGGAAGCGTCAAATAATATTTTCAAATTGTGGAGAAGACTTAAGAGTCTTCCCTGGACTGGAGAAGACTTAAGAGTCTTCCCTGGACTGCAAGGACATCAAATCAGTTAATCCTAAAAGAAACGAACCCTGAGTGTTCTTTGGAACACTAAAGCTGAAGCTCAAGTACTTTGACCACCAGATGAGAAGGGGCGTTGGCTTACCTGAGACGCCCTTTCTCAGGATAGAAGAATAGAATAGAATTCTTTATTGGCCAAGTGTGGTTTGACACACAAAGAATTTGTCTTGGTGCAAATGCTCTCAGTATACATAAAAGAAAAGATACATTCATCAAGAATCATAAGGTACAACAATGATAGTCATAGGGTACAGTGAGCAATCAAATCATACTAGGAAACAGTCAATATAAATCGTAAGGATACAAGCAACAAAGTTACAGTCGTACAGTCACAAGTGGGAGGGGATGGGTGATAGGGAGTGATGAGAAGATTAATAGTAATAATTGTGCAGACTTTGTAAATAATTGGACAGTGTTGAGGGAATTATTTGTTTAGCAGAGTGATGGCGTTTGGGGAAAAACTCCTTGTGTCCTTTGCGAGCTGTTATTTTTCTTCTTCATTGGTATTGTGCTAGACTGGGCTTTTATAATTCACTTTTCAAAATTTCCGCATTAAGGAGGAGGGATTTCTCTCCTTGATCTGATGTGCAGAGCTCTGTAGCATCGTTTTGAGGCTAGGAGTTGAAACAGTTTATATCCGGGATGTGAGGGGTCTGTAAATATTTTCACAGCCCTCTTTTTGACTCGTGCAGTATACAGATCTTTGATTGAAGGCAGGTTGGTAGTGATTGTTTTTTCTGCAGTCCTAATTAGCATGACAGTGGAGAGTCCACACAGAGATTGACACATGCCTTTCTGCCCAAGAGACTGAGTCATCAATCTTTGCCACACCTCTCCACCAACGATCAAGACTCCAGGTATGATGAAGGCACAGCCACCTACGATCTGTCTTGTGGTATTGGCTCAGCCCCACCTGGACACTGGACCAGGCAGTCACCAGGGTGGGAGTGGATTCTTCATTGTCATGCTGAGAAAAGGCATCTCAGGTAAGCCAACACCCCTTCTCCAGCATGCTAATTGGAGAATCCACAAACGGGACATACCAAAGCTGGCTGTCCCTATGGACGGGAAGCAGTCTGGTCCTGTGACCCCATCTGTATACACTCATTCCAGCACTTTTGCCAAAGACCACCTCAGCCGAGGTGAAGGTGCCCAGTCTGTAGTGCCTGACAAAGGGAGACAGGGAGGACCATGTTGCTGCCCTGCAGATGTCTAGCCTTTGCTAGCAAATCTAGCCATCTAAGCATGGAGCCATGCTTAGATGATTTTTTTTGGAACGTTGAGGTTCCAAGCTGTCTGCTGAGTGATCAACCTTAACAGCTTTAGGCTCCATTTACACTGCACCGGGAGGAGAGGCTAATTGCTCAATCCTCTAACCATGAAGTCTTTAGTGGCAGTTTGCAGCCCAGGTCTCTATCCAGTCCTGTCTAGGGCTGCTGGTGGTGGCGGCAAGGCCAGATGACTGGGGCAGCCTGCACACTCACCTGAACATGGTTGCAGTGAAAATGGTGCAGAAATGCACCCCAAAGTTCAGCTGGGTAAAAACTCCGAATCCTGCGATCTAGCTGTAAGGTGCTGCAGCCGCAATTGGCTTCGCCAGAGTTACCTGGGTGAGCCGAGTCTCGCACATTCAACTAATGGCGGCAGCTGGATTGCTTGAGGGACCTCCCCCCAGTGGGCAGGAATCCTGCCGTCTAATGTGTTCCCCTTCTGTGTGGCCTTGATAAGGGTGATGCAGTGGTGGTTCGGAGGAAGCTGTGGCTTCAGCAGAGTAATTAATGAAATCTGGAGACAGCGAACTGACAGAGACTCACTAGGAAGCCTATCACCCAGGTCCCCTGCAAACCTGTCTCCTTTGAAGAATCCACACTTCTCTGATTGATGTCTTCTGAAAAATACTGAGCAATCTTTATGTCTCTATAGGGCCAAGACTGAGTCGTAACTGGGGTCCTGACCATTGGCGGAGAGACGTGGCAAAGATTGATGACTCAGTCTCTGGTGTGGATTCTCGTGTGTAGATTCTCCAATTGGCATGCTGGAGAAAAAAGGATTCATTGAAAAAAACTCAAGTTGGAAAAGATTGAAGGCAAAAAGAGAAGGGGATGGTAGAGGATGAGATGGTTAGATAATGTCATCGATGCAATGAACATCGTATTTTGGCAAACTCCAGGATATATTTCAATGTTGAACTTGTTCAGGATGTTCTTCATTATTTGACTGTTAATTAATGCAAAGTGAAATAGAAAATAATTCTTGACTTTTAAATTGTGTTAAAATGTCCATTTTTTATGATAATTTTCTTTTATGTAATGATTCTTGGTAGCAAGAGTTTCCACTTTTTAGAATCCTAGCTAAGGCATTAAGTTAATCTTATAAACCAAAATGATATCAAAGTTGTATGATTTTTCTCAATGTAACATCAGTGTTGTTTCTGTAATGATTAAACAAAACAGATTGAATGCCATTTTAAAGTCATTTTTATTTGAACATTTTTATAAGAGCCTCATTTGGACACATTTTCTACATGCATTTTCAAAAAAGATGCCTACTGCTGTATTTATCGTGATGTATATAAATAGATCGAGGCACAGAAAATATTTCAATTTACGTTTTTCTCCCCACCTCATACATTCCTATTAAATATTGTATTTCCCATTTTTCTTATTTATAATTTGTTCACAATTCTTCACTGATATCTATAATATTTTAACAGATCTTCATCAATCCAATCAATTTCTTGGGTTGCATTAAATTTTTATTATTTATTTTGCCACTACCAACAAATACCCAAATTTTCAGATGCTTCAGAGAACAACATTAGTATCAACACTAGGAGTCAGTGCTGTATTCACCTTATTATGCCATGTATTCCAGTGTCTATATTACAGAAATCTGTATATTAATTTTTGCAGAAATTCCCAGTGTCCTATATTACATATGTACATATTGTGTTGTTTTAATCAGTTTCTACAAATGGTTCTTCAAATTTGCTTTATGCACACTCCTTTTTAATAGGAATTCTTGTCTAGTTATAACTGATAAGAAAAACAATTGAAAACAGTTTCTACACAGTATTAAAAATTGTCTGTAGACATAGCCTCTGTGAAGCAGCCATCAACTTACCTTTTTTTCCTTTAAGATTAGTGTAAAATTAAAAATTCTAGTATCTGATTTATATAAAATGAAAATATAAGTCTATGGAAAATGGATCTACTAGCAAATAAACCTGACAAATTTTCCATTGCATTTGTAATATAACTTGCTAATATACTTTTAAAAAATTATACAAGAAAAAGAAATATGTAATTTATCAGTAAGAGTTGCTTTCAGTTAAACTGAATTTCACTTTTGGCCCTATCTTTATGAAGAAATAAACATATCTATTCAGATATCAGTGGTAAGTTATTACAAGCTTTGATTTAAAAAGTAACATCCATCTCAAAGACCAAACAGATTTTGAACAAATGTAAGTATTTGTTCCATATGCTAGGATAAAACTATAGCTAATAACTACAGAGAGTGGCCAAAAGCATACATTCTTGTTTTTAAACATAATATTTTAAACCCAATAAATTAAAGTTTAAACTTTAAGCACCAACAGGTTAGTACTAGGTTTCATATCATACATATTTTAAAAAATATTTTAACAGCAAAAAGCAAACTTGTGATTGTATTGAAGATTGTACCTAGAGCGGTCAGTTCACTAGCCATAGTACAATAGGTCCCTACAAAAAATAGATTTCAGAGTAATATAGAAAGTTTAGCATTTAGTTTAGTCACTAGTCACTAGACCAAGATCCTTTACTTGTTCAGGTAGCTGTAATGGCATTCTATCCACAGGTTATTTTAGTCTTTCCAGTTCTCATTTGCCTAATAAATTATGGAGAATGAAGTGCAAACAAATATTCTATCGTAACAACTCAAATGGGAGCTATAGTCTTACATAAAAAGCAATATTAAATCAGGATTTCCTCTCTTCCTGTCTGCCTTAGCTACCTAAAACTGCTGCAGGAAGTATCACTTTAATAACCTAGTGATTCCTCATACTTTCAGAACAGTTGCAGGAATGTATTCCAGTCCAGAATTATGAAGACTTTTGGTGGAAAATCTTTTAGGTCACAGCTTGTTTGAAGAAAAAAAATGCAAGTCAATACCTGTCTTCATCCCCTTGGCCAAAATCCCCATGCTATTCCTGGCAATAACAAAGCAATGACTACAGAGGAGAAGAGATTCACTGCATTGTTATCCAGGATTGGTTTACCAGAAATGTGTGTTGCATTTTCTGTCTGATGGTTGACAACCATTCCAGTACATTTATCAAAACCTGAAGAAGCAGTAAGAACAGCATGTTAACCAAATGGAGAAAATAGTCTTCAATAATATAAAATGGCATCAAATACTGTATATATGTTTCAATGACCAAACATTAAAACCATTGTAAAGGCCTTAATTTTACTTTTATTGAAAACAATATTTAAACACAATGCTTGTTTAAAAAACTGGTGTTCCTTATTTTTCATCAGGAATCAATCATTACAAAGAATTTAAGGCTAGAATATTTATTTATGGTCAACAATGACAGTGTTGACCATAAATAAATAAATAAAAAACTTAAGCCATAAGATTAATATTCTACAGTAGCATTGTAACCCACAACAGCAGTGAACAAAATTCAGCCGCTTTTCTAAAGTTCATATGTGGCTTGCCTGCTAAAAGAACATCTTCTAAATACTTACATCAATTATTAAGATCAAAACTAAGATCTGTGTCTGAATAGAAAGGATAAGATTTCTGAATAGTGGAAGATTAAGGGCAACTGATTTAACTTTTACAAGAGACAGATTTATTATTGAAGAAACATGCTATTAAACCACTGTTCTATTAATTGTGAATTTTGTCATTCTCAAGGTAAGTTTTCCAGGTAAGAGTTTACTTCACTTTGAGACAGCTATTGACAAACTATGAGATTTATTACTAGTGGAAGATGGAACGCTAGCCATCAGAGCAACAAATGATTGAAAAAATTGTATCTGAGGATAAGATTGCAGACAGTGTAGACTGTAATCCTATATATACTTTTTTCAAAAGCAGCTCTGTAACACTCCACTAACTTTTGATCTCAATTTATTCCGTTTCAGACAGGGAAAAATCGGTTTATTTAAGATTAAACAATGTCTAAACATGAAGGGAACTAATCTGTTCTTGTTGTGTAACTGTTTATATGCATGTTGGTTAGCCAAGAAATGTTATAAATCTCAATTTTCTGTTATTTGAATGTTGTAGGTAGTAGGGCTGCACAGAGCTTTGGATCTGATTGCAGTTAAAATTTTTGGAGTGCATGAAAGTGCTCATGGACAGCCTGTCTACAAGTCTTAAAGTAGCATCTATACAAGTCCAAAAAAGTCATTGATTCATGAAAGCAGATAAGTGCTTTGTTTCCATTCTCATTAGAATATTTTAATAGTTTAGATTTAGGAAGAACATCAACTCCCCCTCCCTCAAATGTTGATAGACTCTAATAACTTGCAGCTAAGTTGCTCACCTTCAGTATAATGCTTGTTATGCCTTGTTAAGAATTTTTCAGCATTGGTCTGTATTATCTAATGTTAATTGAAATATACTGCATATGATAAATTAGAAATATCAACTAGTATTTCTAATTTATTTAATATAAAACATAAAAAATATTTAAGATAAACTTACTCTATGGTTATCAAACCTACATGTTCTAAATCAGAGGTGTCAAACTGGCGGACCGTGAGTCAGATGCATCATGCGCAGGCCACACCCACCCCAGCTCTACGAAGGTGAAAAATGTCACGAAACATCATGTGATGTCAACCTGATGTGAGTTTGACACCTGTGTTCCAAATGATAAGATTACATTACTTTTCTACTAATCTAAAGATTTATTTAAAAACTTACCACTGTACTGCATTGTTGCTCCTAAGTAAGAATCAATGATAGAGCCTAGTAAACCAGCAGAGCCACCAAACACAATAATTGGCCATTGTGGAGCAGATATATCCAAATCATTCACAAAAATCAATTGGGAAATGAAGTAAGCCATGCCAACGAATGTGCCTCCAAGCAGACTTGAAATTAAACCCACTAAAGTAACACCTCCATTAGTACCTAAAATAAATGAAACATCACAAAATTAGCATGCTAAATGTTTAAAATTTGCATTACATACAGCATAATATAACTTTGCACCTGACATATTGCATGTATTTGGACAATATCATCTTATTTAAATAAAATAACAATATCCATCTTTGTTCTTTTTGCAGCACAGCAAACGAGTAAGACAAAAAGGAGAATCCCAGTAACCCTTAATCCAGTTTAAACAAACCTAGCAAATACCATGTGCCACCACTGGTGCAGCATTCTTGCTGAATCCACTTAATTAAAGAACTTGGAACAACCCTCAACTTTTCTCTTCCCAGAAATGCACTGTTAATACTGATACCAACCATACTCATAAGTCAACTTCAAACAACATTCCAATCAGTGTTCACTTCGGTGACCAGATTATCATATTGTACACTGCTCAAAAAAATAAAGGGAACACTTAAACAACACAATGTAACTCCAAGTCAATCACACTTCTGTGAAATCAAACTGTCCACTTAGGTAGCAACACTGATTGACAATCAATTTCACATGCTGTTGTGCAAATGGAGTAGACAACAGGTGGAAAGCATAGGCAGTTAGCAAGACATCCCCAATAAAGGAGTGGTTCTGCAGGTGGTGACCACAGACCACTATGCTTCCTATGCTTTCTGGCTGATGGTTTGGTCACTTTTGAAGCAAATCCAAATCCAGGTTCTCCAATGGTTTTTAGGCATACAAAAACATTTTTTTATTTAAGAGCTACCCCATCAAATTAACATATTAATCACAGGCATTATAATTGCAAACATCTGTAATGGAATCAGCATCAGTAGTCTTAAGAAAGGAGAAGAGGGATGCTGCCTAGGAAAAAATTTTTTATAATTTCAGATTTTCAAGAGTCTGTTAATGTAGCCTTACAATAAAGTAGAATTAGCTCATGTAATTCTGTTTCCTATCTGATTTACCTGGAAGGACTGACAACATGTCATTTTCAGAGATATTTTGGCCAATTGTATTTTTGCATCTATTATTCAAATACATGGTAACTGGGAAATAGAAGGTAAAGGTCCAACTGATACAAGTCTTTCAGGCCAAATTCAAGACTATGCAAGCTGCATCCAGTGGCTGAGTTTACACATCATGCTAAATCATGGTTTAGTTCAATATGGAATCTAGCCAATTATGGTTTGTATAATAAACTATGGTTGCTAAAGCAATGTTTTAACATTAATTAAACAAAGACCACAGAAAAAAATGTTGAGAGACTACTACCACTCATTCGACTGAGATAATTTTGAAATTCAAGCTCACCTACAGGAACTTTTTTCCAGGTTGTTATTAGCCGAGGTTCATGACCCATGACAGTGCCAATTTCTGAAGCCCAGGTGTCCCCAGCACAGCAGGCCAAAGCACCCAGTAATGATAGACACATCCAGGATGCTGTATATTGTTTAGAGAAATCTACTGGAATTTCACCTGGTCCATTTTCAATCATATATAGCAGAGCCAATTCTGCAGGTACACCGCCATTGCAAAATACTTGCACCCAATTTCTTTGTCCACCTGTGTACAAACAGAGAAGCTATAAGTTAAGAGGAAATAAATATTTAGTAGTTTGGGGAGTATGCACTTGGAGAAAAAATTATTAATTTGCTTATGTCAAATCATTAAAGTTTTCAATTTTTAACACAAAGCAAAAATTAATACAAAATTATTACATTGTTTACATACATAAATCAGGTGATTCATTAGAAATAGGATGTCAAATATTTATTTGGGATTTAGCCCACAGATGCAATCCAGTAGATATTGGTGATTAAATACACTGCTCAAAAAATAAAGGGAACACTTAAACAACACAATGTAACTCCAAGTCAATCACACTTCTGTGAAATCAAACTGTCCACTTAGGTAGCAACACTGATTGACAATCAATTTCACATGCTGTTGTGCAAATGGAATAGACAACAGGTGGAAAGCAGAGGCAGTTAGCAAGACATCCCCAATAAAGGAGTGGTTCTGCAGGTGGTGACCACAGACCACTATGCTTCCTATGCTTTCTGGCTGGTGGTTTGGTCACTTTTGAACGCTGGCGGTGCTTTCACTCTAGTGGTAGCATGAGACGGAGTCTACAACCCACACAAGTGGCTCAGGTAGTGCAGCTCATCCAGGATGGCACATCAATGTGAGCTGTGGCAAGAACGTTTGCTGTGTCTTGTCAGCGCAGTGCCCAGAGCATGGAGGCGCTACCAGGAGACAGGCCAGTACATCTGGAGACAAGGAGGAGGCCGTAGGAGGGCAACAACCCAGCATCAGTACCGCTACCTCCGCCTTTGTGCAAGGAGGGACAGGAGCACTGCCAGAGCCCTGCAAAATGACCTCCAGCAGGCCACAAATGTGCATGTGGCTGCTCAAACGGTCAGAAACAGACCCCATGAGGGTGGTATGAGGGCCCGACGTCCACAGGTGGGGGTTGTGCTTATAGCCCAACATCGTGCAGTACGTTTGGCATTTGCCAGAGAACACCAAGATTGGCACATTCGCCACTGGTGCCCTTTGCGCTTCACAGATGAAAGCAGGTTCACACTGAGCACATGTGACAGACGTGACAGGGTCTGGAGATGCCGTGGAGAACGTTCTGTTGCCTGCAACATCCTCCAGCATGACCGGTTTGGCAGTGGGTCAGTAATGGTGTGGGGTGGCATTTCTTTAAGGGGCCGCACAGCCCTCCATGTGCTCGCCAGAGGTAGCCTGACTGCCATTAGGTACCGAGATGAGATCCTCAGACCCCCTTTGAGACCATATGCTGGTGCGGTTGGCCCTAGGTTCCTCCTAATGCACGACAATGCTTGACCTCATGTGGCTGGAGTGTGTCAGCAGTTCCTGCAAGACGAAGGCATTGATGCTATGGACTGGCCCGCCCGTTCCCCAGACCTGAATCCAATTGAGCATATCTGGGACATCATGTCTCGCTCCATCCACAATGCCACGTTGCACCACAGACTGTCCAGGAGTTGGGGGATGCTTTAGTCCAAGTGTGGGAAGAAATCCCTCAGGAGACCATCCACCACCTCATCAGGAGCATGCCCAGGCATTGTAGGGAGGTCATACAGGCACGTGGAGGCCACACACACTACTGAGCCTCATTTTGACTTGTTTTAAGGACATTACATCAAAGTTAGATCAGCCTGTAGTGTTTTTTTCCACTTTAATTTTGAGTGTAACTCCAAATCCAGACCTCCATGGGTTGCTAAATTTGATTTCCATTGATTATTTTTGTGTGATTTTGTTGTCAGCACATTCAACTATGTAATGAACAAAGTATTTAATAAGAATATTTCATTCATTCAGATCTAGGATGTCTTATTTTTGTGTTCCCTTCATTTTTTTGAGCAGTGTATATTTTTCAACCAATTCTACTTGCAACTTTCCAAAGACCACAAAAATTGGCCTCTAACAGTGCTGGCTTATAAAAAAAGTTTCCCTCATTTTTCACAAATGCTTTCTTATTTCAAAAATATCAATTCCTTTCTTTCAATAGAATCCTGTTCCCCAAGGAAATATTTCCAGGATCTTGTGGATTGATAGGGAAAAAGTGAAGTGGGAAAAACAGCTTCTTCCTATCCCAATACAATCTAAGCATTACACCATTCTTTCCCTAAAATAAGGGGAAATCATCATTATGAAATTTCTTAAAACTAAAAGCTTACCTTCTTTGTATTCTGAATCTATTCGTTTTTTTACTTCTCCTTTCCACTTGGTGAGTTTGGAAGAAGTAATAAAAAACATGAGCATGGAGGTAAAAAAGCTGTAATTTGCAACAGTGAGGATAAATCCAACAATTAAACCTGAAGGGAGAGGGAAAGTTGGAGAAAGAATTGCCATTTACTTTTTGCAATCATTTTCTTCCAGAAATTTAATTATTTGACTTTTAAAAAGTATATAGCATCAACCTACATTGAAATAATAGTCCAATAATTTTGTTTTGTGCAGATTATGCAAGTTCAAGCAATCTTGCAGGAAGAAAACACCATGTAGTTAGTAACAATATCAAAAAGAATTACAGAACAGTTGCAGTATGGAATACTCCTATTCAGTTTTCTAACCAGCCATAATCTTGTTTTATAATATTCTACTACGTTCTTCTATGGTACTGAACATACTCTTTGAAAGTATCGGACAATAAGATCTACAAATTCAGTACTTATGCAATATTTTTACATAATATGGGAGTAAACTAAGCTAACTCCCCTGTGTTTCTGCATTCCATTTGTAATGGTCTAAACACCATCATTCCAATTATTATGCCCATTAATTATTCTACCTTATCTTGATTGGAGGAAAGCAGTACTAAACCTTTAGTTCTGTTCCTATCTCTCTTCAGACCTGTTGCTTCTACCTTTATACCTTAGAACATTCTGGTAATATGACTGGAACAATATCCATTCATAATCCAGGTATCTGAAGATATGTTCATATCAATCTTTCTTACATACCGTACTACATTGCATGCTTCTGATAGAATCTGGTATGTCTCCTAAATTCCTTTTTTCTCAGTATTCCAAATTTTATTATAAATGCTAAATTCATACAAACTGTCATAAATACCATAAATAAATGAAATAATTCATATTCCCCACTCCTCCCATGTAACTTAAAACTGTAGGTCATCTTGAAGAGGCAGAGTGGTATAATCAAGATTGGTTTCTGTTAAATAAATTAGATGAAACTTGCTAAGAATCATAATTAAATTATGAATTCCACAAAGAAAAGATTGCACAATAATGATCGGGCATAGAGATAGCAAATTTTTCAGGGGTAAAAATCCATCAAATTATTACATTCTGCTATTCAATATAGACCAAGCATCCTCCTCACTCAAATTATGTGAGGTTAGATGCTCCAAATACTTTTGAAACTTCTTTCCTCCTTTAAGCTTTTTAGCACAGTATTTCTAGTATAGATAATTTTCTTGACTGTACTAATAATTAGTATGACTACATTAATAAACTATTTTGAATATGCTAAAACATACAAATAAAAATTCTTACATGGCTGCTGTAGTAATCTACTGAAATAACTTTTATTGACCTGTTCTGATATCAGATATCAGAAGAAATATCAAATTTCTTCTAAAAGCACCCCAGTATCTTATTTGTGATTGATCAGACATAGGATCCTAAGATTCCTCAGACTATTATTGATATTTAGGGGTACAGGACAAATTAATTGAATATGTATTAGTACACACACACACATACATACATATACTTACATGTGCACACATATCACTCATCAGAGGTAACTGATACCAGATGAAATCTGATCCGTGTATATGTGTGTGTACATGTAAGTACAGATACACACACACAAATGTAATATATTTGTTATGAGTTACTCATTATTTGAATAACTTTTCTGTTTACATTAATTACATAATTTGAACATAAATAGCCACTCAAGTAATGAGTAATTCATAACAAATTCAATTCTATGGAGCCCAGCATAACCCTAGATTAGATATATGAAGTGTAAAGGAAGTTTGCATAGATTTAGAGACAAGCCACCTCCTGAATTTTACTTTATTTTCCATCCAGAATGCAGAAGAGAATTTGCCAAATGATACATCAAATAATAAATAATTTATATATATTTATCCCTGCAAAGTGATGGGAACAGATTGTTACCAAAATAAGAATAGAATATTATTTTAACTGAAAGCTTGCACATGCAAGTAACTTTTAAAAAGAGCATAATGACAATAAACAACATATCTTAATGTCAAGTTGAAAGATGACGGAAAATACTTACATCTCAAAAATCTATGCATACAACCAAAATTAAGAGATAAAGCCATACCTCCTATTGCTCCACCATGATCAAGACTCTTTTTCCTAAATCCTCGTGAAGCAATCATTAGCGGGATCAAAATTGAAAAAAGCCAGCGCCATGGAGAAATTGGCCGCAAGCTACCTAAAAAGTATGTTAAAAACAGTACACAATGTCAAGACCAATATTCTATTGTATAAACCATAATGATAAAACTGTTAAAACTGTTAAAGAGTAAAAGCAGTTTTCATTCTTTTTTAAGTGACATACAGTTGAAATTGTATCACTTTATATTCAAGTACAGTAAAATATTCTGATGGGATAGAGGAACAGTTAGGTTCTTTGGAAAACAAAACTCTAATGGCAATGGGCCAATTGAAGAAATACCCTGTAAGGCAGGGGTCCCAACCCCTGGTCTGCAGCATGCCAGCAACCGGGCCATGCAAACAAGTGAAGCCCCATCCACGGAATGCAGGCAGCATGCAAAACCACGCCCCCTCTGGTCCATGGAAAACCCCTTTTTCCATGGAACCGGTCCCAAAAGTGGGAAGGCTGCTGCTGTCCGATATAAAGTGGAAGTAATATTATATTACCCTTTGTGGAATCTAGAAACATTTTGAATTCACACATATTTTTCATTCACATTCCTTAACAGCCAAAATGTTCTTATTTACTTACCTATTGATTATACTAACTTCCTGGCAGTTTATAATCAAACAAAGTACATAAAATCATAACAGCCCCCTAAAAAAGCAACTCTACATTTTCACCAATCAAATGTGCTATGATAAAACTCTGTCATGACTGCAAGTGGAAAACTATAAGGGACAGTGCCATCCAGAACTCTGGAGACCAGTGTTAAGCATAGGGGCAACGCATGAAAAAAAAAAAAAAAAACAACATGTTTTAGCCCCTTTGCTGATTTCATTTGAGTGGCTGGATTCTCAAGATGGCCTTCTGGACCTAAATGAACTGATCAAGTTGGTTCTGCCTGAAGCAGAAGGCCCAGCCAGTAGCTAGAGACTAAGCCATAAAGACTATGCACCTTAAAAGCAGCATTTTGAATTGAGACCTATGTGACACAATGGTTAAAATGCAGTATTGTAGGTTGACTCTGCCCACTGCCAGGAGTTTGATCCTGACCCACTCAAAGTTGACTCAGTCTTCCATCCTTCCAAAATCAGAGGACCCAGATTGCTGGGAACATGTTTTACTCTTTTTTCCATAGCCTCCTTAACATAATTTCCCCTCTATTTTAGACTACAATATGCTTAATGAATTTGAAATTACACTGTGCTTTGTAAGCCTTATGAAAGACAACAAAAAGTAAATGCATACTAGACCACAAACATTGCATCTTGGATTCCAAACATACCAGATGTTAACACTATCCCTTTTCTTTGAAGAAGCTTAGGAAATCATATCCTGTCTAATTGCTTTCATTTTATTTATGCAACAAACCAGTTTAGACTATTGGCTAATATATGTTACCATTGTATAGAAGTGTTTCTCACTTTTGCAACTTTAAGTTGGGTAGGGAATTTAGGGAGTTGGTATCCACACATCTTAAAACTGCTAAAGATGAAAACACTGGTTTTGAGGTCCCACATCATCTGAAATTACATTGCCAAATCTGTTGGCAAAAGTTATTTTAATTGATAGATATCACTGTGACATACGCATGACAGTATTTTAATTACAAACAAGTATTTCTTTCTCAAAATACCAGCTACACACTCACAGCTTTTATTATTTTTATAAATAATTCAAGATGATGAACATACCTAATTGTCAAGCAAATAGAAGGAGGAAGGAGTATCAGTTATAATAAATTATTGACATGATATATTCTGAAGCATCTGAAAGTAAACTCATATTTAGAATATATGATTCTCTCAAATACATTATAATATTTCTAGTTACTATCAATTAAACCACTAGCTATACATATATTTCAAGTTTTAAAGTTCTTAAAATATATAGTTTTTAATATTGTGAGTGGTTGAATGTATTTGATAAACTTCAGTAGTCACCTAAAATATTTCAGTTATAGAATTATATGGCAAAAGTGTGCTTACATATCAATATTAGCTATTACAGGAATGCAATAAACGAACATTTCATAAATATCTAATGATTTTAAAAATTTACCATAATATGTGCTTGCGGTCATGGACACAATCCAGAAAGACAAAGAAATACATATTAGTATACTCAAAATGATGATGTTTGTTATCATTTTGAAGTAATCTTTATTGAAATCATTCCAGGAATGAAACAACATGGAAAATCCAGAAGTGATAACCTGTGTATAGAAAAAGGCAGAAAATGTTTAGATTGTTTAGATAAATAAAATATATTGTTTAGATAAAATATATTGTTTATATAAATAAAATATATCAAAAATCATGGAAAGTCAGAAAGAATGAACTAAATTTCCATGAGAAACACATTTCCATAGGAGGAATTTTGTTACCCTCATGGAGATAAAGGAAATATCTGTGTGCAAATCTGCCCAGTTAAAATATGCTTTAAGTGTTTAATGGGACAACTATTCAGATTTTGTTTTTTTGTTATTGTATGTACAAGTTACTTGGCATGGGTGCTTATGTGTAATAGAAATGCTGGCAATTCATCTCAGGAAGTATATTTTAATGCAGCATAGCAGGAAAAGGATGCACAGGTTAATAAAGTAGAATCCTTCCTCACCTTGCACTACTACTACTAGTGCAAATATTTGTCAGAGTCAGACTCATTGCCACTAATATAAGGTTATCATTCAGCAAAAGGAGGATGTGTCAGGCATAGTCCTAAAGTGTAACACAGAGGATTTTTTTGAGTATCTGGTTTTTAAAAAAATGTAAACTGTTTTCACAACAGTGACCAAACTTTCCTATACTGTGGCCCTGTAAAATCTTCTTTTCTTTGTCTATCAATAGCCTAGGATTTACTTTATTTCCAGATTCCAGCAATTGGCTTCAATAGGGGGCGTGCATAAGCGCACCAACGTGCCTACCGTCCCTGTCCTATTGTTTCTCCTATTCTTTTATTTTTCTTATATGTAACCATTTCATGTATTCACAACTATGTATACATTTATACTTATTATCTTGTAAACAATTGGCAAATCAAATAAATAAATAAAATAAATAAATTCAGCCCCATCAAATCCATAACTGTAGTCTGTGAGACCAAATGATTTCTCATACCTTTCTATGGTTCACAAAACACATTGTTACAAATTCTGTATTATAGCTACATATGTTCCCGAAAATGAAGATTTGTTAAAAAAAACATTTACAAAACCTCTGTTGGGCTCGCTGCCCAAGATGCTTAGGACACAGTAAAGAGCAAACGGAGCTCCTACAAGTAAGGCAGCCCCGTCCCTGACGGTACTGGGGAAGCATGAGCGGCTCGCCTAAAAGGCGCCGAGAGCCTGCAGAGTTTGCATCTCAGCTTCCTGACACACCTCAGGGCCACCGGGGCCTCAGCTTCAGCCGACCTTCTTGGCGAGGCAGATACTCTTCCATCCTCTTCCCAGCGATCCGCGGATCAAACCAGCAAGCCGACGAGGGAGCCCCATCAGCGCCGAGCCCCGCTGCAACTCTAAGCAACCCTAACCCCGAGGCCATAGATTCATAGTCTAAAGACTCATACGAAGATTGACTCTTCCGAATTAATTTTGAGCCGCTTCGGTTTCGTCCCTCCGGGGAATGATGAGGCACAAAGTCAATTCTTTGGGCGGCTTGCCCTCCTCTCTGCTGAGGCAAAACGCAAAGCGCGGCAGCAGAGGATGAGAGTGAAAATATTTTTATAGAATATATAATATGTAGAATATATCTGAGACTATTTTTAATCAAGACCAGTTATAATTTAATAACTTCTGAGTAACATGGACAGTGATGCATTGTAAAAAAAAAAAAATACGTAGCATCTCCACCAAAAGCATGCAACGAATCTCTAAGTTCAAACAAGAGGTTACTTAAATTTACATCGGAATTTGCAAGGCAGAGAATCTTTGATTGATGCTTCTATTAGGACGACTCAGCTATTTCATTTGGGCGCTTTCTCCATGAATCACTACAATTATAATTATTTCTTAATCTATAATGTTATCGGCATTCAAGAATGTATTACAGCCATCGCTTCAAATTGTGATAATGGATACTAGAATAAACCCAGTATCAAATCAATCGTGAAGACCATTTATTATCATTCTACTTTATTCCTATCTCTAGCTATTCCTTACGCGCATGCGTCCTCATGAGTGGGTTAAAGTTGAGCGTTAGAACTTTATTTTTCGACAGGAAAAGTTAAGATTGCTGCGGGTGCTTTTTAGGCTGCTTTCTTCCTCATTAAAACCACCATTTCCTTTTTATGTGCTTCATTGCTTCCGCCTAAATGGCTGGCTTTTCCTTCAGCTGTTATACACAACTGAAGCTCAAGTCACTCCACCAGCAATTTTCAGTGCTTCAAAATTTTCTGTCCTTCCATAACCAAATCAAACCCCTGAAGTAGAAAAGAATTTAGTTTTACAAGTTTCACTTTTAAATGCATAAACAGTAATACATTTAATGAGACTTTTTTCTAAGCAAACTTAACATTTTATCTGAATTCCCCTTTCATAAATAGCTGTAAATGGTGAATCTTAAATGTTTGAACTGATCAGACCTGTGAACATTAGATGCCTTTCTTTGTTTAAAGCACAATAACAACCACAGGTGACAATCCTACATTCATCTGGGAATGACTTAAAATGAATGATTCTCTGAGTGTGAACGCATTTCACTTTAGTTTTAACAATAATTAGAGACATCGTTGTAATGCACAATTTCTTCCCATTCTGTTGAGGTTGGGTAAGAAATTGTTCCCAATTGTCCATCAAAATAGGTACAAATGATGAATTCATGTAATAATTACTACTAAAAGAACTTTCTGAACAAGACTTATGTTCTTTCTAAATTTAGTCTTGATGCTAATCTTAGGCATTTTTGCACCTGCTTTAATGGGAATATGAGAGTTATATTCTTCCCAAGGAGTAAAACCACCACCATCACTCCCTCAAGACAGGCGGTGTCTCCCAAGGATGCCTTTAATTAACACACATACTCAGCCATCCATTATCTTGCTGGCTGCTTTCACCAACCAGGTGAGACAACAGCCCAATTTTAATGGTTTGTGAGAATGACCTTGGGAGAGAGAAGGAAGAGACACATAATAGGCTTGGTCTCTATAGCAGTGGTCGCCAACTGTGGGCCGCAGCCCACTGGTGGTCTGCGAGAAAATATTGGTGGTCCACAGAGAAATGTCACCCCCAGAACATCCCCCAAAGCAATTAATCTAGGCTGTGCGGGAACACAAGGCTCCTCCTCCCACATGGCCCGCAGGGACATAAGGCTTGCATCGGAACAACACGAAGTAGTAAGGGGAAGGGGGAAAGGGGTGGAGGGGGGAACTTGGCTGGCCACCGGGCTGCTTCTTTCCGCTTCCTTCTTCTTCTGCTTTTGGCTACACACAAGGAAAGCAGCAAAAGTCTTTCTTTCTCTCCCCCAAACTCCACCAGAAATGAGTCTTTCGGACCCTGCAAGGCCTTCTATTCCAAGAGGCTACCCTGGCAAAAACTCATTTCTGGCAGAGTTTGGGGGGAGAGAAAGAAAAACTTCTGCTGCTTCTGCTGCTTTCTTTGCATGACGCCAAAAGATCCCAAATAAACAACAATCAATCAGTAGGAACAATAGTATCAATCAGTAGTACCAATCGCAGAATACTGTCTCTCTCTCTCCTCCCCCCAAGAAGGGAGCTCAAAAGCAGATTAGGAATGTGGCTGTCTTGGAGGGTGTGTGTGTATGTGTGTGTGAGATCTGTGTGTGTATGTGTGTGAGAGAGAGAGAAAGAGAGGGAGGGAGGGAGAGAGAACATCACCAGCTCTCCAAGGTTAGATTGGATCTCTCTCCTCCGCCCTCTGAGAATGGAGCTCAAAAGCAGGTTAAGAATGTGGCTGCCTTGGAGAGGGTGGGGTGTGTGTGAGGGACCTTTCTCTCCCACCAACGTCAGCAAGCCACCATCAGTCAAAATTCATATTAGTGATCTGCAGGATTTAAAATTATGACTTTGGTGGTCCTTGAGGTCCAAAAGGTTGGTGACCCCTGCTCTATAGGAACCCTGGTGGCACAGTGGTTAAATTGCATTATTGCAGGCAAACTCTGCCCAAAGCCTAGAGTTTGAGTGTGATGGGACTCAAGCTTGACTCAGCCTTCCATGCTTTCAAGGTTGATAAAATGAGGACCCAGACTGTTTGGCGTAATATGCAAAAAATGCTCTGCATTGTAAACCACTCAGAGTGTTGTAAAGTGCTTTGGGGCAATGTATAAGCCTAATTGATATTGATATTGCTATGGTCAGGTATGAGGCAACTGAGCCCACGGAAGGAATGGAGGCATGGCAACTGTCTCAGAAAGAACTCTTTCTGGTTTCTGGGACTGTAAAAGTGAGGTTGGAGAGATAAATTCAGGCTTGTGATATTCTGTTAATAACTTTACAATAAAGATTGAGCTAATAGTAATAGTTCTTGTAATAGTTCTTGTCTGGACTACTTTACAAGGTAGTTATCAATCCACATGGAAGAGGCTATATAGACATTGGATCACTTCCTGAAGATCAAAGTGGTCTGGGGTTATCTGGTAAAATATCACCTTTGTATAATGTAATATAGAGATGATCTTAGGGAAAGATTTTGCGAGGATCTAAAGACTGATATCAAAGTTTTGCTGTACTCTATCTTATACCAAATATAATGAAGGCAGGGCTATTTTGTGTTTCTTATGTTTTCCACTTTATCAGAAGTAAGTTGTCATTTCACCTCTCTTAATAAATCACAATTCCTTTCCCAAAGATATCTCTAGCATCCATCTCTGAGTGAATATAAAAAAATATTTTTCAAGATATTTGCACATTCATTATAGTGACTCAGCCTAAAATTTTTTGGGTCTATCAGTCTTTAAAACAGTGGTCCACAAATTTTTCAGCTCATTAATTTCTTCATGATTCTTTACATTGTTTATCAACCCCAAAATCTGTTATTTGAAAATAATTTAATATTAACTAATAATTCTATGATCAATAATAACATAATGGATAAATAAAGTCCAATTGATACTTGGGGTAGATATTGATCATGTTGGGGTAACCCTGCCTTAAAATGATTTGAGTAATTTTAAACAGTACTGATGGGAAGCAACATTGACCCTGTATTTTTATATGTCCTGTTTATTTTAGGCAATTTACTTGTTGCTTTAAGTTTAATTTGGAAAACCGCTTATCATATATTTTATCTTTCCAGAATGATCAATAAATATTATATCAGTAGTTTCCATATTTATAATTGAAAAAAGGGTTTAAATTAGATCAAAGAAGTTATGGGTTTGACTTTGTAAAAAAAAATGAATTGGAAATTATACTGTCTTGTAATGATTGAAATGAAGAAGGTCTTACAGTCTTATATTCATGAAGACCAATCTGGCTTTTTGCCAAAAAGACAACTTAGAGATAATGTGACAACTGTTTTGAACATTATTGAACACTTACAATTCTATAATGAGAAACCTATTTTTAGATGCAGAAAAAACCTTTGACAATTTAAATAGGTATGTATGTTTAAAGCCCTGGAAGATATGAACTTCAGGGAGAAATTTATTCAAGGAGTTAAAGTGATTTATATGTCTATGGAGATTCTCAGTCATTTAGGTCATGGTTGTCCCAAAGGTACTTTTTCAAGAGGCTATTGGACTTTCTTGTTTTTCTCTGAAGATGTTTCTCTTCATATCCAAGAAGCTTCTTCAGCTCTGACTGATTGGTAGGAAAAGGAAGAATTTATATCCTTGCAGGCAGTTGGTCATTTACATGCTTTTAGAGAGTTATTGAGGCCATTTGGAGGTTTATCTGTGTCCTCAGGGTCATCCTAAACTTCTTCACAATTCCACCCACTCACTGGTATAAGTATGTGGATGATATGTCGGTCAAAATCAAAACACAGGAATTGGAAGCGTTAACCAACTGGAAGCGTTAACCAAGCATATCAACTCTGTGGACAGATACATCAAATTCATGTGGGAAGAAAAATAGTCTAGCCTTCCTGGATTGTGCAGTACACATTAAGGAAGACAGGAACCTTAACATTGAAATTTACAGAAAACCCCCACACAGAGATCAATATTTATATTTTGATTCTCACCACTCACTGTAGCACAAAATGGGAGTTATCAGAACCCTATACCACCGAGCTGAAGGCCTGCCTACCACCAAAGATAGGAAAGAAAAAGAACTAGAACACATCAAGAAAGACCTCAGAATGTGTGGCGATTCCGAATGGGCCTTCATCAAATCCCCAAAAAGACCCAGCAGGAACATAATAGACAAAGAAGAGAACAATAAACAAAACAATGTTGTCATTCCAAACATTGCAGGGATATCTGAAAAGCTCAGAAGGATCCTTAGCCAACACAACATACATGCACACTTTAAACCCAAGAATGCTCTAAGGCTTGTCCTTCCCAAGGATAAAACATCCAGACAAAAACTGAGCAACATGGTATATGCGGTACAATGCAGTGAGACATG